GGGGGCGGGGGTGCCCCGGGGCCGGGGGTCCCTCAGCACTGAAGGTCAGCCCAGCAGCGCTGCGTGTCAGCCGGGAGGAAACAAATCGCAACAAAACCGATGCGAACAACAACAAAACGTGCACGAGGAGCGGGTTAGGGCTCCGAGTGTGACTACCTGGGGTAAAAGGAGGCTGTGGGGAGAGCTCGTTGCTCTCTGCGGCTTCCTGAAGGGGGACTGGAAAGGGATGTGTCGATCTCTTCTCCCTGGTACAGAATCATAGAATGGTTTGCGTTGGGAGGGACATTAAAGATCATCTAGTTCAAACCCTTCAACACCTTCAGCCATCACAAGTCAGCCCCAAGCCCCATCCATCCTGGCCTTGAATGCTTCCAGGGAGTGGGCAGTCACAGCTTCCTGGGCAACCTATGCTAACGTCTCACCTTCCTCACTATACATAATTTCCTCGTAATATATAACCTAAATCTACCCTCTTTCAGTTTGGAACCGTTCATCCTTGTCCTCTCACTACATACGTGGTTACACTCGTAAAATGTCCCTCCCCAGCTTTCCTGTAGCCCCCTTCAGGTACTGGATAGGCCACTAAATGGTCTCCCTGAAGCCTTCTCCAGGCTGAACAGGTGTTTCTCCAGGGTATGGGAACAATTCAGACTGTGCCGAGGGAGCTTTGGACTGGACATCAGGAAACATTTATTTACCAAGAGGGTGGTCAAACACTGTAACGGGCTTCCTAGAGAGGTGTTTGATTCCTCACTCCTGTTAGTGTTTACAAGGCCCTTGGACAGTGCCCTAAACAACATGCTTTAACTTTATGGTCAGCCTGGGATTGCTCAGGCAATTGGACTAGATTGTTGTAGCTCCTTTCCAACTGAAATGGTCTGTCCTATTCTGAAACCAAACAAAACCAAGATAAGTCAATTGGGAGTGAATGGTGGGTCTTTTCTCAACTGGGGTGGGGGATGCTGAGGCCCAGAGGCAACATGTGCAGACACACCTTAAGGATCAGTTGTATCCGAGGATTTGCAACCAACTCACATATTTAGAAATGACAAAGATCCATTCTCACTTAGCTTTAGAAAAGAACTGAGCCATCTGCCAGGCTGGTCTCTGAGTCAGCTGCCTTAGCAGGCTCAGAGCTAGCAAGCTGTAGTTCCTAGTAGCCAGTTGGGGCTAAAAATAAAGAGGAGGAATGCTGAGTTGTATTTGTGGAGCTAAAAAATTTGCTGATTGTCCATAAAATGCAGAAAATATATGCAGGAAATTAGGAAATTGCAAACCAGGAGGAAGTAGAAAGGAGGCAGAATCCAGATGGTACTATGCAGAAATAAGTAAAAGAAGTAAACAGAATGCAAAACAGAGCTGCAGTTGAAAATGTGTCTGTCAGATGCTCTGGAGTACTTGCCTCTCTTTTTAAGCACAAATTATGACTTGGCCAGTAAATAGGGCAGTGGATTTGGGCTATGGAAACTTAGGGGTAGCTGCTGGCCAAGCTGCACATTTGTCTGGGCTTGGTCTGAATGTTATCCTATGCTGTCTGTGTTTCAAATTCCCAGCTATAAAATGTTAATTTTACATGGGTACTTGTAAAAATAAATTCTACTTTAAGTAAACCTACATGTTCAGGTGGAGAAGAACAGGTAGTAAGTGGGGAAAGGATATAGATTTATTTATGCTTCTGCTGGATTCCTTTTTATAGCCTGGCAAAAATCAACTAAGGAATTTGTGCTTAATTTTCCAGAATTTTTATGAAAAGCATTCTACAAATGCAAAATACTATGTCTGAAAGCAATACTGAGCAATAAGAGTGTAGTAGCATTTAAATAGCCATTTGATGCCCCCCCCCCCTTCCCCCCCCCCCTTCTCCATACTGTTTTCTTTATTTATATGTGTATTGTCAGGAACTGTTGCATTGTGTCAGACCCTTTGCTTGGGATGTGATTAAAAGCCTCTCTACTTTTTGCAGATGACACCAACAGAAGTATTAGAAAACTGGGCAGATGCAGAATCACAAGGAAAAAGAGGAAGGAAACTTCTGCCTGATTTTAAACTGACAAGGTGGAAACTCAACAAGACCAGGGTGTACCAAACTGACATCTTGCCCTAATACCAGAATGACCCCACTTAGAAAGAGGAAAAAAATAATTTTGTTTACTGTATTAGCCAAACTGAAAAACATCAGCAAAAAACTGGCCAAAACCTTCCAGCAGAATGTCAAAAAAATGACGAATGAGACAGTGCATTAAGAGGTCACATCAATGGGCTTCTGTAGAGGAATCTTCCTACTTTCTGCATGTTGATCATGGAAGTAGATGACTTGCAAACTTCAGCAGTAGACAAGAGGACACAGTGAGATCTTTGGGTTGAAAGGGTACACTGGGGAGTACTGAATGCAGATATCCATGGTGTCTCTAGTACAGTGTATTTAAACATGTTCATGGCATTGTTCCTGACAGGGGCCCAAGGTAGTGCTGAGTCTGTAATGT